TCTTAATCAGAGATTTTGAAGATTTTAGTTAGTCTCATCGCAAACCCTGCTGGTATTTTGAAAAATCCTCAACTATTTCTCAGCAGCATACTGAGAGCTGGCTAGCCTAAGGATGCCATTTGCCATTACACTTTGTCATTCTTGCATGCTTGTTCAGGTGGCATCCACAGATAAACATTGTTGATTTCTCCTGTTCAATTAAATAAAAGTTGTTTTGCTTCTAGAGGCGATTGTCTGTGGCTACTGTTGTACAATACCACTGCTGCCTTATATAACAGGATGGTTCTGTCTTTTACTCCTCCCAATAACCTTGTCTTTTACTCCTCCCAATCACCAGCACATCAACAAGCTTGTTTCAAAGCGCAAAGACCTTTTAATGCATGAATAAATAGAGGAGCAATGTTTGGTCAATTCCATTGTGGTGTGTGCGAGAGGACTATACTTCACAACTGACTATCAAGTCACAAAACAATGAGAAAAAACAGTTACAGATATTGCAAAACACATAGAAGATACCTAATTGTTCCAAAGAAAAGGTAAACTGTATTTAGCAACCTGCTGGGAATGTACCATTAACCACTCATATAGAACAATTTCACTTCTTCTTGCCCCATGACTCATCACCTACTGAACCCCTTAGTCTACCATTTCACCAACACAGCTTTAACTGCTACATAGGATAGTTGTAAACAAATCTGTCATGAAGTTTGGCTTTTGGAGGCAAAATTATACAGTAAATTCTCAGGGAAGTCCACTTCCCTGACCTATATCAATAAACTATGGATATATTTTGTCTAAGGAATTAAGCCATCAACCATAGAAGCTCAGAAAACATTGACAAATTCTGGTCTTTGCACTTACCAAAAATAAAATACACACTATGAGCTCCTTGATAAAGCTGGGCTATGTTTAAAAGACACATGGAACTATAAGCGTGATGTATTAAAGTTAGGCTAGGTGCTATTTCAAGCATTATCACCTTCTACGCTGTGTGAAAAAAAAATCTGATTTATCAAAGAGAGAAAAGCTTTTACTGAAATGTATAATTTACAATGTTAACCCTTTATTAAATATATGTTTTGCTCTGAATAGAAGCAAAACCTAATACTATATATAACATTGTTCTTACTTTTTGCCTGGTACCATCAACAGAAAAGCTAGCATTGATATATATGTATGTATATAGTCCAGTGGAAGAGGCACTCACGGGTCTTGTAATGAAGTAACATAGACATATATCATCGGTCAATAAAGTAATCTCTGTTGCTTAATTACAAGACTTGTGAGTGCCTCTTCCACTGAACCGTTTGTTATCTATTTGCCTTGAGTGCACCCAGGCAGCTTTTATTCTTATCTGAGTGCGGTGCCTACCATTGGACACACACATATTTTTTATATATATATATATTCACACAGTATATACTGTAAGCCAGGGAGGCCCATTAGGTCGATCGCGATCTACCAGTCGATCGCAAATCGATCACTAGTAGATCACGATGTCCTGTCCTCCCGGCGTGGGGCTTCTCCTCTGGATCCCCATTGCTCTCCTCATCTGTATGCAGTGGGGATCCGAGTGTGTGCGTGGCCAAGTGCCGGAGGATCGGTACATATCAGTGATATGTACCATTCCTCTGTGCCGGACAACCACTGGAGCGATCAGCGGATCCCTCCAATGTTTGTAAATAACTGGGGACACATAGTACTATGTGTCCCCAGTTATGAATGAACAGGAAGTGCTTTACATAATTTCCTGTTCATTCATGAGTTTCTCAATGGGGAGTAGCACTCTGTACGGAGGCTCCTCCCCATTCAGAAACTGGATGATAGTAAATAGTTTCTGAATGAATGGGAAGCCTCTGTGCTTTCCATTCATTTAGAACGGAGGCTGCAGTAAAAGAGATTGAGGACTTTGCGTTCTCAATTTCTTTTTCTATTTTAAAAGGGAGATACCAGGAGACTGTTTAGACCCCTAATATTTCCCCAAAGCCCCCCCAACATAAAAAATTAAATAAAAAATAAGAAATAAGAAAAAAAATAGTAAATTTTTTTAAAAAATCCTGGAGGCAGGGCGCTGGGTGACGTCACATGCCTGTTATCAGATTTAAACTTACACGTGAAATCAAATTTCAGAAACGTCAAATTTCAGAAACAAACTTGACAAGAGATTGGTTTCTATAAACAACAGTTCCACATTTTATGAATCAGCTTCAATGTGAAGTATCTTAGTAAGCAAGAATCACTATCCTTCTAGTGTAAATATATGTATCTTTCTATTTAAAACTTCATGGGGGAAAGGGGGTTGCTAACAAACAAAAAAAACAAAAACTTGTGCTAATGATTTAAAGGAACCCTTCAGCAAAATACAAACCCTCCATATCATTTTGCAAAGATATTCTGCCCATTACACAAATTACCCACCGTGAAAACTGCTGGATGCCAGTATTCCACCTCTTTATCTACAAGTGTCTATATGTCTTGATATGCATCAACAAAAGCTTTTTAGAAATTTGAGACCACAGAGTGTGAGCAATGCAAAGGCACATATTAATACAATAACATTACGCCCTGACTTGTACAGGTTACTTTTTGTAAATTGAAATTCAGAGGTTGGAAGAAAATTTCTAGTTGACCAATCTATTATACTGTAAATGTAACCTTGTTCAAAGTCACAATATTAAATTGGCCTAGGGCTGTACTATTTTATGCAAACAATAATACATTTAAAGGTTCTTGACGTTTGTCAGCCCACAGAACAGGATCAAAGTATGAACTCAACAGAGCACAGAGCATAGGCTTTAAGATTGATATGAACTACATATGAACACCACAAGAAACCAACAACTTATTTATCTAATGGCATGTACATTTCATGCATAGCAAAATAATGTTTGTGTTTATGCTTTTACTCTTACGTGTATTTCTTAACCAAAATAGCATGTTTGGAGTTTTTGCATGTAACACTTGTGCTATAAAATATTCAGAAACAATTCATTATAACGTCTGCCAGTATAAACGGATGAATGCTTTGTAATGCTGTATAGCTCAAGAAACTGTAACCTTAACTACAGTGTAACCTTGACATGACATTATTAAAATGACATTGACATTAAATTGAAAACTCCAACTAACCCAGAGGATGCTAAAACATATTTAAACTGTATAAATAGCAATACATTTTTTTTCCGTTTTGGGTAAAGTAGGGAAGGGTTAAAACCCTTGCCATGTTATTTTTGTCTGTCTGTGTACCATTGGGTACATTTCCTTTCATTTTCTGTCATAGAGATGCAACAGGAAGTTAAAAGAAAATCTCAAAAATTAAGGGGAAGTATCTTCATTAGAATATTTCCCCTCATCTCTTGGGACACTAAAATTCTCAGTGGTCATCAGTACCACCAAATTGACAATTGTCACCAGTACTAATAGAGGGTTCAATCTCCCCACACATACAGCAATGAAAACTTGAAAGATTATCTAACCCTTCCCCACTCTATTTAACACTAAAAGAACATTGTTTTATGTAGAGATACACTCTAAATATATGTCAGTTTGCTTTGGTAGGAAATAAACCTTTATAATTCCTGAATGCCATTAAAACAAATCAGTGGGTTAGTATGATATGATTTATTTTTACAAATGGCACCAACTATAAGGTTTATCTGTGGCCACCTTAAACAGCTTCTCTCAAAATGTTTGACTGGCCTTTCATATATGTATGTCACAGTTCAGCTGCAGACTTGCAGCTGAGCTGTTACTTATAGTTCTACAAGGATATACATACCTCTTACCCCTGGTTCTGCAGACATGTAGGTCTGTGCTGGTGCTTGTAGTCCTCCAGACATGCGCTCTAAACCTGACTCACACTTGCACCTGTCTGCAAGCTTTAGGCGTCGGCCGACCTCTCCTGCTGTTTCTTATGCAGCTTCTCGGCCAATCAGTGCAGTCCGCTTGTGGCCAATCCTGTGGATCCTCCCTCTTCCTGTCTCTATTTAAACTCAGCAAACGGCTCGCTGCCTGAGCAATGCTTTCCTAAGCTAGTTGACAAGTCCCCCATTTGTGGTTTACCCTGAATTCCTGGGAGTTTTCCCGTGTACCGAACCTTTGGCTTGTCCTCGGAAATCCCTGTCTACTGGCTGCCCTGTGCTTTGCTTTTGTCCTTGGAAATCCCTGTCTACAGTCTACACTGTACTTTGCTTGGTCCCTGGAAGTCTTCAGCTTGTCCCTAACCTTTGATTTGTACCCTGTACCTGTTAGGTGAGTTGGGTGGACCTAGGGATTGTGACCTGGGGTCAGCACGCAGCCAAGCCCATGTCCACCATCAGGAGCTCTGGCGAATACCGGCTGGCTCTTAGATTCCACATCCTAGGGAACCCCTGCCACCTACTCAGCATACCATGCCACCTACTCAGCATTGCAGCACCCTGCCTTGTATTTGAACTTCCAGCTTTAGCTGACTTCCACTACCTCATTCAGTTCCGCTGCTGATACTCCCGCTCTGGGAGTCGTCAGCCAACACTGCTTGGAGCCTTTTCTCTGAGGGTCCCTGCCAGTGTAGTGGAAAGGGTCCACATACCGGACTCCAGTTCATACCCGTGAGTCCCGATCCGTGACAATGTATATATCCCCTCTTGATTGATGTTTAAATAATTTATTAACGTTTAAAAGAAGAAGAAATACCTGTGTCACTTAGGAGTTTTTGAAATAGAAACTAGGTGATCAGCATTGACCATCACCATATTGATCTATCAATGCAATGTTTTAGCTGATTTCTCAGTGAAAATCATCTCAGCCAAACCATAACAATGTAAACTGACCCCCTTTTCCCACTCTTATATCATTTTTGAGTAAGAATCAGAGACTAGTGGCATATTTCCCCCTTGTTTTATAGTAGAAAGTAGTAACAAGTGTTGGGACATAAAGGGGGGAGATTAGGTAGACATCATGATATCTCCTTATCTAAACCATGTTACATAAATGTTTTGCCATCACTTAAACAAACCAACCTTTCCATCAGAATTGGCTGATGATACCTTAACAACCTTGTTCCTGTTCAGTTTCCTCTTCACCCAGGATTCCACCTGGACATTGAACTTCATAAAAGTAACATACGTTAAATATGCCATGAGCAGCATAAGGCTTTCCCACCATTGGATTATATTGTCCAAGAAAAATGTTATGAGCATAATCAATCCCACGATATAAAATGTCACATCTCGAAACAGTGGCCACCAGGTTAGGTTTAATACCTCTTTAGAAAATAAAGCACACATGCCAATCACGAACAGGATATTGAATACTGCTGATCCAACAATGGTCCCAATACCGACATTGCTATGTGATATAAATACTCCTATTAAGGATGTAAAGAGTTCCGGTGCAGATCCCCCAGCAGCCATAAAAGTTGCCCCTGCCACATCGTCCGAAATCATCAGTTTTTCAGTGATAACTGTTAACGATGGAACGAAAAATTCATCACAAACTACAGCTAACGCTATGAACATATATATCATCCCAAATATATGGAGTACAACAGCACCCCTCTTCCTGTCTTCTAACGAAAAAATGTCTTCTGGGTATTCACCTTTGGAAAGGGATTTATTACCCCCTGCCTTGTAGTTCATAGATATAGTAGAGCCAGGGGTATCATTCTGATTTTGTTCTGCAAAGTCCATCAGATTTCGTTGATGCCGCTGCAGTAGTATATGGCTGTGTGTAGCACTGGACTTGTCACTGTTGTAAAGTTCTGTCTTTAAAAAGGCACCAACTGTGGAGGACAAAGTGCTTATGGCTGTTATGCAGAGGAAAAGACCCAGTATTCGAATAAATCTTAGTTTCTTATGAACAAATGGGTGTTTGTGGCTGTGGTGAGACAAGGTTTTCCCTAAGCAGCAGCTTGTAATGAGGTCACCAGCAGATCTTGCATGGAGTCCCATTTTGCAATCTTCTAGGTTCAAAATGTTGCCAATTATGAAAACTGTAAAGCCAAATGGACGGTCATGCTTTTCCTTTCTTATTCTTGCATTAGGAGTCAATTAGGAGGCCTGTTGCAAGTAGAATGGTCTTCATCCATGCTTAAAAAAACACAAAACAGAAAATAAACATGTAAATATGGATACATAATACTTATGCACTAATACAGGCTTCATACATTCAATCTACAGTATAACACACACAAAAATCAAATATGTATCAATATGCCCAGGTTTCTCTAACTCCCATATTCCTCTTTCTTGACTGCAACTGCTCTTCTGTGCCTTCAAAGTTACAGTTTCAGTAATCAATTCAGTAGTTAACTATTTAAAGCTTTCCTCATGTATATGTTTTAATTTTATTTCATGATTTAAAATTATTTATTTTATTTACACCTTGCATGGCTCAGTTTTCAGTTTTCCTCGATATATGCTTTACACAAGTAAACAAATACTTCCGTCAAAAGCAAGCTATATTTGAAGGAGCACGACTCCATTTGGAACTTTGAAATTACTTTTACAGGCAAAAGATGGCAAAAGTAATAATATGATCTATGATAATATAGCCAGAACCATTACTGAACTGGAAAAACTGATTTTGATCTCAATCGAATTGCACATAATGCATAATTAAAAAAAAAAAATCAACATCCATTGTGCTATAGTGAGTTGACCCCTATAGCCCCTGATCAATGGATGACAGTATTCTAAAACTGGTGCTATTATATGTACAGCTTGTAGTGTATCATATGTTCACAAAATTTTTCCTACATCTTGCTTCTGTTCAGTGTGTTCTAGGAATCGGCTTTCCGCTTGGCTAAGAGCTACAGCCTCAGTACATAATACATTCAATAAACAGTAACAACGTGAACATGAAGTGCCATGCTGCCATATGGGATGAGTACAGATGGGAAAATGGCTTATGAACAGGAGCCAGCAAATGGTGATGAGGAAGCAGGGAATTGAAGTGAGAGTCTGCTACCCCTTTTAGGTCCAGTCACATTGCAAATAGAGCATCTTTTATCCTGTACTCAATAGGGGTCAGTTTATAAATATTTGATGGCCCATTCACCCACAGTGCTCCTAATATTCTTTAGGCAACATTTACCCTAATTACAAAACAAAATTACAATTGCCTAGCAAAAAATATATTCCCTGACATTCTGCAGCATCCATTCTTCAGTAGGTAAAGGTCTTTATTATAACATTCACCCTATTCATAAAAGGGTGAATGCTATCTTCACAAACAAGTATTGATTAGCAGTTTTATCACAATATATGTCATAGAGGTGCTAATCAATATCTGTTTGTGGTTGTACAAAGCATTCAAACATGCTTGGATCGTGCACTCTTAATTAACTGGAGATGGAGCGTTGTTATGTCTTGAATATTATCTTCCTTGCACATTCACCTGACATTCCCTCAACCTGTTTGCCTGATGGTGCTGTCAAATTTAAATTGAATGCAATGATTTTCTACTGTTACATCACAGACCAAATACAGTATGTTATTAGTCTGTATATGGGCAATCTAGTTAAGAAAATAACTTTGAAGAAGTTAATAGAAGAACTGAACACATCAGATTTGAGAGTTTAAAGGGGAAAATTCACAAAATGCATGACCGTTTGGGAGCTGCAATTTGGAGTTTCAACTGAGTTCCTAAACAGGTGCTTCTGACCTTCTTCTGACCAGCATTTGTCCTCCAAAACTGCATCAAGCTGCTTTTGTATTCCCATAAACAGAAAAGCAGTTCCGATATAAATAAAAGCACACAGACCCTTTAACCATCTGCGGATTGGCCACTGTAAATAAAGACTGATCCTCAGCCCGTTATTCTGGGTTGATGTACCTGTATATCTTCACGTGGCTGTCTGTTGGCACAACCCCCAGCTCACGTGGCTGGTCCTGCTACCATTGGACAGCAGAGAGCGGTTTCAGGCCCGGAGCCAATCAGACCGACTCTGTGCCTTGTGATTGCTGTAATTGGTTATCACAGCAATCACATGGCAATGCTTACAATGCCAAGCCCTCCTCTTCCTCCTACAACAGGAGCAGGGGAGAGTCAAGGGAGTAATACATGAATGAATCATCTATTCATTAGTTCCAGAGAAACTAATGCATAGACGAGCTCTGTGCCTTGTGATCTATCTGATTGGTTATCACAGCCATCACATGGCAATGTTTACAATGTCAAGCCCTCCTCTTCCTCTTACAACAAAAGCCGGGGAGAGGAAAGTACATAATACATGAATGAATCATCTATTCATTAGCTCCTGAGCAAAACAAGCTTCAGCAGCAACCAAACCTAAAGCTCCTCATCATTTTTGACCCTTTCACCCATCCTTCTCTCCTGTTTATGCACTCTTCTTTCTGTCTCTGCTCTGGTGTTTATGTTAACCCCTTCCCCTCGCTTATCCTGCACATCTGTACATTAATTACTTAATTTCCATACTTTCACTGTATTCCAGATAGCAAGGATAACTTACCACAAACTTGTGGCAGGGTTAAATTGTATTTCTTTTTAACTTGCTGCACACATTCCCTGGCAAGTTATAGACTTGCAGAACACTTGCAGCACAAGTTCTAGTTGACACTTTTTGAATTTGTAACAAATTTGCTTGGCAAGTCTACAGCAAGAGTCCTGCAGGTCTTAGCAAGAGCTCTGCAAGCTCGCTGGTCTGGAGACTTGCAATGCAGACTTGCTGTAATTGTGCAACAAAATGGTGAAGCTTGGCAAGTCTGCAATAGTTTAGCAAGTCATTTTCAAACTTGCAGCTCAATTGCTTGCTATCTGGGAAGAGCTGCAATTTGGAGTTTCAACTGAGTTCCTAAACAGGTGCTTCTGACCTTCTTCTGACCAGCATTTGTCCTCCAAAACTGCATCAAGCTGCTTTTGTATTCCCATAAACAGAAAAGCAGTTCCGATATAAATAAAAGCACACAGACCCTTTAACCATCTGCGGATTGGCCACTGTAAATAAAGACTGATCCTCAGCCCGTTATTCTGGGTTGATGTACCTGTATATCTTCACGTGGCTGTCTGTTGGCACAACCCCCAGCTCACGTGGCTGGTCCTGCTACCATTGGACAGCAGAGAGCGGTTTCAGGCCCGGAGCCAATCAGACCGACTCTGTGCCTTGTGATTGCTGTAATTGGTTATCACAGCAATCACATGGCAATGCTTACAATGCCAAGCCCTCCTCTTCCTCCTACAACAGGAGCAGGGGAGAGTCAAGGGAGTAATACATGAATGAATCATCTATTCATTAGTTCCAGAGAAACTAATGCATAGACGAGCTCTGTGCCTTGTGATCTATCTGATTGGTTATCACAGCCATCACATGGCAATGTTTACAATGTCAAGCCCTCCTCTTCCTCTTACAACAAAAGCCGGGGAGAGGAAAGTACATAATACATGAATGAATCATCTATTCATTAGCTCCTGAGCAAAACAAGCTTCAGCAGCAACCAAACCTAAAGCTCCTCATCATTTTTGACCCTTTCACCCATCCTTCTCTCCTGTTTATGCACTCTTCTTTCTGTCTCTGCTCTGGTGTTTATGTTAACCCCTTCCCCTCGCTTATCCTGCACATCTGTACATTAATTACTTAATTTCCATACTTTCACTGTATTCCAGATAGCAAGGATAACTTACCACAAACTTGTGGCAGGGTTAAATTGTATTTCTTTTTAACTTGCTGCACACATTCCCTGGCAAGTTATAGACTTGCAGAACACTTGCAGCACAAGTTCTAGTTGACACTTTTTGAATTTGTAACAAATTTGCTTGGCAAGTCTACAGCAAGAGTCCTGCAGGTCTTAGCAAGAGCTCTGCAAGCTCGCTGGTCTGGAGACTTGCAATGCAGACTTGCTGTAATTGTGCAACAAAATGGTGAAGCTTGGCAAGTCTGCAATAGATTAGCAAGTCATTTTCAAACTTGCAGCTCAATTGCTTGCTATCTGGGATGCGACCTGTACGATAACCCCTTCACCTCTGCCTCCCTCTGTGTATGACCTGTACATTTATTGTATCTAGTGCACCTTTGCAAAGCTCCATATTTTATACCCCTCAGTACTGGCATGTTTCTTCATTTCTGAAAAAATGTGGCAAAAAATCAAGTCACCTTGGGGTGTTTTCTTTCCAAAAAGGGCCATTTTTGGGATTTTCTTACTGTCCTGACATTTTTTATATGTTTTATAACAGAAACAGGTTTTTTTGGGGGGACTTTTTTCCTTTATATTGTAAAAACAACAATTAAAAAGATATTATATAGCGCCAAAAGAAAGCCCTCTCTGTCTCAAAAAATATAATACAAATATTAATTCTCAGTCATATTTAACAGCACTGAAAACTGAGAAATGGCCTGGTAATGAAGGGGGTGTAGAATGCTGGGACTGAACTGGTTAAATAGTGACAGATTAATTTACTCAATTTCTGTTGCAATTATTTGAATGTGAACACTAAAAATGATAAAAAATAAAATAAAAATGTGCATGTGTAATTTTTTCCCCTAGGTTTTTCAATGTATATAACAAAACATTGAGAATCTAATGGTAAGATAAGGTTACAAGATGGGGGAGGGGGTTCTTTTAACATAATGTCATATGAACCAGTAACGTGACCACATCATATCCTAATGACATATTGTAGAGTAAGAATTCAGGGAAAAAGCACAGATAGCCTTACAGAGCTGCCTTGTGTTATAGGATAACATGACATGTCCTGATACCAGAGCTAATGAAAGAAGAGTGTAGTTTCCAATAAACATGCAATGGTAAACCCGGATATTTATAGTGCAGTGAAGGGAATACTTCAGCAGGAGCTGTGAGCAACATAGTAATTATTTGAAAATTGGTGTAAATTATATGGAAGAAATAAAACATCTATATTTGTGTCTATTTGTGGAGCAAATATGGACTTGAGTCAATAATGACATTTTGTTAAAAGAGGAATAACAGATTTATAAGTAAACAAGCAGGTTTACACAGAAGATAAAGCTACACACACACACACACACACACACACACACACACACACACACACACACATTCTGCAATTGTAACTCCAATTTTAACAATGCCATTGTAACCAACACTCACAT